ACTCGATTTGAGCAGCTAAGAATGCCGCGTTTTCCTTCCTTTATAAAGAAATTGAGCAATTAGAGTGGCAATTACTTTGGGTGGTTCAAATTAGTCCTAGCTCAAAAGGGGAACCTGTTAAAGACATTATGGGACGAATCTGATCTACACATTTTATCTACATTTTATCAAGGTGTTATCTACATTTTATGTAGATATTCTAATTAGCACATCTTATTCTCTTTTTGATGTGTAGAATATGATTCGTAAAAAGAAAAACATTGTTTGCAACTTTGCATCATCAAGTGAATTGTTTTACTGGGTTTACCAGCGGGTGGATGACATATTTACATGGGTTTTCGAATGGGGACATTGGAAAAATAGGTCCGAATTATGAGAGAGAAGAATATAGACCAAGTGGAGATTCTCTGAAAACTCTACTTTTGTCATTGGGACGATCAAACTCTCTTTTTGTTATTTGTTCTTTTTGTTACAATGGAGGCGGATCATTATTTGTTCTTTTTGTTACAATGGAGGAGGATCAAACTCTCTTTTTGTTACAATGGAGGAGGATCATTATTTGTTCTTTTTGTTACAATGGAGGAGGATCAAACTCTCTTTTTGTTACAATGGAGGAGGAAACTTTTTGCTCGGCGCTCGACTCGATTAAAAATACTTCGAGATTTTTTTTGCTCGAGTTGAGCAAAGCTCGGCCAAAATTTTAGGCTCGACCTGAGCTTTAGGCTCAGGTCTTAGCGAGACGAGCCTGGCAAGCTCGATTTTTTTTAAAATTTCTTACAAATCTAATTTTTTTTTTTTAAAGAATTTAAAATTTGTGCAATTTATATGCGTTATAAATAATAACTAAATATTAACATATAAAAAAATCATAACTGAAATTAAAAGAAAAAATAAAAAATTACAAAAAAAGAAGTGAAACAATTTTTTTTGTTCTTTTTTATTTGTTAAGCTCACGGGGCCGGGCCCGCTCGAGCCGATGACCCAAAATGGGTCTCGGCCCCACCGAGCCACGAGCGGCCCGGCTCGAGCTTTTTTCGAGCCAAGCCCGAGCCGATGAGCCATCTTGCCTTCCCTATGTAACTCTCTCTTTTTGTAGATGTTTTTTGTCTGCAAAACTCGTCATTTCCTCCATTTTCACTATTAGATAATGTTGATCTTCTCTTTAAATGAATTAAACAAAATAAAATAATAAGATAAGAAAAATAAGAAAAATTTGCAAATAAAATCTCATAACTTTTCAAAAGTAAAATAATTAAATACATATTAACATATAAAAAAAATTTAAATATTCACACTTCAGCCTTAATATTTTTTAATTAAATGTTTACATATAATGTAAACATTTAATTTTGATAAAAAAAAAAAAAAAGAAAAAAAGAAAGAAAGAAAAGAGAAGTAAAACATAAATGATAATTATATAATAAATAATTTTAAATTTTTTTTAAAAAAACTATTTACTCATTAGTCATTATCCATTTTAATTTATATAATTATCCCCGGACAAAAATAAATACATTATATAATTATCCCCTTGTTACATGCCACGTGTAGTACTACACAAATGAGATGTCTACGTTATTAACATAAAAATACAACAACGATTGCCAAAGAGTAATACTATTTAGCACCACTAATATTAAAATATCAGTTTAAGTGACATTATATGATTATAATAAAATAAATCATTTAATTCTACATCTCAATAAATCTATCGCATAACGCCACTTATACTGATATATTTAGCATTAGTGGTGTTGATAACATTGTTCTTTGTCAAAATACAAAATGCAAGCTTTTTCAAGGGTCAAAGTGGCAAATAGAACTTTGGTACTAAGGGCGTGTTTGATAGGGATTAAAATCGGATTAAAATTGAAAAACTAGCCGTTATGGTTGACTTTTATCAGGAACTCAATAACAACTATATTTTCAATTTTAATTGAATTTTAATCCAGCCAAACATGCTCTAAAATTTGTAATTTTACTTGACTTTCAACTTTAAGCACATGTCTTCGTTATTAACATAAAAATACAACAATATTTGCCTATAAATAAAATATTTTGTTCAACCTTTGATAATGGCATCATGACCTAATGAAAAGGTCTTCTCTAATTAATATTTTGTTCATTAATTTATTGTTTGTAGAATTTGTAATCGACTCCAACAAAAATCTTCCGTGCAATTGGCGTCTGTGTGGGGGCGACTCCGCCCCAATTGAACTTCAATCTACTTAGCCCATGTTCCCTAGTCAGTGAAGACCTTTTCTTTAGGTCATGATGCCATTATCAAAAGTTGAACAAAATATTTTATTTATAGGTAATTTTTATAAATACTAGACGGCGACTCGTGCGTTGCACGAGTTTTGTATTTATTGTGTTTTTATTAGCGTAGAAATGAAAGTAACAAGAAGAGTAAATGATATTTAGCGATAATGTAAAACTCGTGTATGGAATCACATGTTTTTATTAAAATCACTATGCAAAAAAACAAAATGATAGAAGAAAATCTATTTATGGTAAACAACATTAAACGAGAATTAAGAAAGGAACAATAACATACTTCTGGTATTCATTGAAAAACGTACAAGAAGAATATTCGTAGTGGATTGATGCAAAGAGCTGAAAGTCTAATATATATAGCAAGATTCTTGTTCTTAACCTCCTCCAACACTATCTATAGCATCACCACGTCCTTTGTTGTTGGATTTTTCAACAAATTAATCTAACAAAAATAAAAGATGTTTAAGCAAAAAGCTTCCTACACCAGTAGGCATTGAAACTAAAAAAGAGAATTCTAGTACAAGAGTGAAGAAGGAAAATAAAAATTAATTTTAATCAACTTAAATCTCTAGAGCGTTAAACATCTCCATATTGGCTTCGGTCATATTCCCAACATGTAGTTAGACTCTTTCCTCCTCCTCACTCTAACGAGCTCAAAATGGATTATTTTTGGTAAGCATTAATAAGCTCCAGTGAACCATGAACAAGACCAACACAAGCAATTCCACACACTTTTTCTGCCTTACTATAGTGGAGGTGTCTAGCATTCATCTCGTCGACTCTAATAAAACCATGAGAGCTTCTTCTAAAAGAGAAGATAGGTTTCTAACACTTCATACGACAATAGAAGTTTCATTACACAATAAAGGGTGCCTTTAATTCAGCAATAAGCTCTTGTGGCTTTCTGGGAGTAAACTAATAAATTTGATGTAGTTCAATCCAAACCGAAGAAAAAAATCCACAGAAAAAAATCTTAGCTTCATTACAATGAACACGAAAGAGAATGAAGTACCTCAAGATTCTGGATAAGAAGACAAAAATCAATTAACTCCAAATCATTGCCATTGCGAACTCCAGTGCGATAGTTCTCCATTGAGATAACAATGCAACCAATTACAGATGCTACTTTTTCAGCTAAGCTTCAAGAACTATTAAAATGCACTTTTCTAAGATAAAATGATGAATTAAGCTTCTATAAAAGTCTACCAGTAATTCCCACTGAATTAACAAATTGAACACGCATGTACAAGATACTTACCTTGATTTACTTGACCCACTCGGACCTCCTATTCCAACTGTTACTACACTCTCTTTCTTTGATCTAAGCTCTTGAATCAATTTCACCAACAAGTAATATCCGTGATCAAAAGACTGCGAAATCCAAAACCCATAATAACGAATGGTTTAGGAAGATCTTTCCTACAATTCAGAATTAGTATGAAATGAATTTAGATTTATATTAATCCACAAGAATATGAAAATTAATAGAGTTTACTAAGACATTCAATGATATTAATTTAAATGAAAACCAGATCACCTATTTAAGGCTTAAAGGTATTTTTACTTTTGGATCTCGAAGAAATTTTTCATTGAATATATGTTATCATAAACCATAGCGAACCAAAATAAATACTTTTCCACTTCTTTGAAGCCCCCCCTTTTCTCCATTTCCTCCAAATATCTCATGTTGAAGAAGAAATCTGCTTCTTGTTCAAATANAAAGTAAATAAAGTCCACGAAATAGATTTGAACGCATAAAAATGAAATTTCAATATTGGAAAAGCGATTTTTTAAGTTAATTAATTAGACTAATTAGTTGGGTAAGGATCACTCAAGGTATAATTGGCTGATTAATATACTTTATTACAAAATGGAATTCAAGCTATGAATAAAACACTAGAGCAATGGAGAAGAAATGCTGAATATTATTTCTTACTTGAACCGGATCATTTACATCATATTTATACAAGAAAATGGTATAACAAACTGAGTGCTACAATAATTTCCTAACTGATTTCTATCTAACAGAATTGGAGAGAGAGTAAATGGAGTATACAAATTCTAGAATGTACATCTTCCACACACCTCCTTATCCGGCATCTATGCTATACTCCTTATGCAACTTGCAATTTCTTCTTGCTTCTGAAACCTCTTGCTGGAGCTGCTGATATGGAATGTTCACGTGGCAATCCTGCTGATGTACCTTGTCCAGGTGGCAATCCACTTGCATTTGTTTTTCATTCTTCAACATCCCCCCGCAAGATGGCGAGTGGATGTCTTTTGCTCCCATCTTGGCCAAGTGAGAATGAAAACTAAATGAGTTTAATGCTTTAGTCAGAATGTCAGCAACTTGCACACTGGTTCTCAGGTGTTCTGTGATTATACTTCCTTCTTGAATCTTATCTCGAATTAGATGGCAGTCCAATTCAATATGCTTGGTTCTCTCGTGAAATACGGGATTTGCAGCAATATGAAGTGCTGATTTATTGTCACAGTATAGCCGGGCTGCTTGTGGGTGACAAACTGTTAAATCTTTGAGTAAAAATCGCAGCCACGTTAGTTCACAACAGGTGCTTGCCATGCCTCTGTATTCTGCCTCTGCAGAGGATCTGGAAACGGTATTTTGCTTCTTTGATTTCCATGAAATTAAGGAGGATCCTAGGAATATACAATATCCTGTAATGGACCTTCGAGTATCTGGGCATGAACCCCAATCAGAGTCGCTATAGGCCTGAAGCTGCAACGTTGATGAGGATGGATACATCAACCCCTGACCTGGGCTTCTCTTGATGTACCGCAGCACCTTGTATGCTGCATGGTGTGGAATCCTAGGCTTATCCATGTACTGGCTCAGGAGCTGGGCTGCATAGGATAGATCAGGTCTAGTTACAGTTAGGTAAAGGAGTCTTCCAATGAGTCTTCTGTACATGAATGGATCCTTAAGCAACTCTCCTTCATCTTTGTATAATTTCAAATTCTGATCTAAGGGAATTCTTGATGGTATAGCTCCAATCATTCCCGAATCTGTCAATATGTCTAGAGCATACTTTCTTTGGCACACCATGATTCCTTCTTTTGATCTTGCTATCTCAATTTCGAGGAAGTATTTCAATACTCCTAAGTCTTTAATTCTGAATTTTTCATTCAATAGTTGCCTTAAGGAATTGATGGATCTCATATCACTACTTGCCACAATGATGTCATCCACGTACACTAAGATGGCAGTGAATGAGTCTCCTTGTGACTTGGTAAACAAGCTATAATCAGCCTTTGACTGAACGAACCCCAAATCTGTAATGAAGGTTGATAACTTTGAATACCATTGGCGTGAAGCTTGCTTCAAGCCATATAAACTCTTGAGTAACCTGCACACTTTTGGTTGAGATGCTTTCGAATAACCTGGAGGCAATTCCATATACACTTCCTCACATAAGTCACCATGCAAAAAAGCATTATTCACATCAAATTGGTGTAGGATCCACCCCTTTATAGCTGCCACCGCTAGCAAACTCCTGACAGTGACCATTTTGGCTACCGGTGAGAAAGTCTCGTGGTAATCTAGGCCTTCCCGTTGAGTATAACCTTTTGCAACTAGTCGTGCCTTGTATCTTTCTATTGATCCATCTGAGTTGTGCTTGATTTTGAATACCCATTTACACCCAATGGCTGACTTTCCTTGTGGCAGATCCGTGACTGACCAAGTGTGATTTTGTTCAAGAGCGTCAATTTCGTTCTTCATAGCCCTGCACCAATCTAGGGATTCTAGTGCCTCACTATAATTTTGTGGTTCTATGTGTGATGTGACAGATGTTATAAAAGCTTTGTGTGCTTGTGGCAATTTATCATAACTAATGGTTGCTTCAATTGGAAATGGATTACCTGAGGTTGGATGAATCTTCTGACCTTCAAACTCTTGGAGTTGAGTAGATGAGCTGGCTTGTTGACATATGAAATTTTGTAGGTATGAGGGTGTTTTTCTTGTTCTGGTGGAACGTCTTGGCAGATGGTAGTTTGTGTTTTCTGGTTGCCTTGATGGACTTTGTGGTTCTGAATCAAGTTCATTTTCAGAGTCTGTGGGATTAGAATCTATTGCTGATGGTGATGAAGTTTGGTCACATGACAACGTTTTATTATTGTCATACGATTGTTCAGGCTGCAAACTCTGGGAATTAACTGAATGGTGTTCATCTGTATTTGAAGGCTGGTTAGAAGGCAGAAAAGGTAAGTCTGATGAATCAGATATTTCCTTGGCATTTGGCTGTTTTTTATTTTGCTCATCTTTGTAGGGAAAATTATTTTCATGGAATGTAACATTCCTTGAGACGAAAACCTTTTCAGTTTCTAAATCAAGTAGCTTGTACCCTTTCATTCCAAATGGATAACCCAAAAATGCACATCGCCTAGCCCTTGGATCAAACTTATGCCTCCCCTGAGCCAAGGTAGTTGCAAAAACTAAGCAGCCGAAAACTTTGAGATGAGAATATTTTGGTTTGATTTTAAAAAGAAGTTCAAAAGGTGTTTTATGATTTAAGAGAAGTGAGGGAGTCCTATTTATTAAATAGACTGCTGTTAGCACACAATCACTCCAATACTTAGTGGGGATTCCACTTTGAAATTTTAACGACCTTGCGACATTGAGAATGTGTTGGTGCTTCCTCTCTACGACTGAATTTTGTTGAGGAGTTTCAACACATGATTTTTGATGTATGATGCCTTTTTCATGAAAAAATGTTTTCATATTGAACTCCCCACCATTGTCACTCCTGATTACTTTAATCTTGGTTTCAAATTGGTTTTCAATCATGCTACAAAAACCCTGTAAGGCAGTGCTAGCATCAAACTTATTTTTCAAAAGATAAACCCAAGTACATTTGCTGTAATCCTCCACTATTGTTAGGAAGTATCTTGAGCCATCATAGGCAGTCGTACTACATGGTCCCCAAAGATCACAGTGAACTAAATCGAAACATTTTTCTGATTGATGTTGACTAACAGGAAAAGGTGGCTTATGCATTTTAGCTAAGGGACAAATCATGCAAGGTATGGATGTCTTATTACTGCCTAAGAACTCAAGAGCAGCAGATGAAGGGTGTCCTAATCTATAATGCCAGAGGTCAAAGTCTTCAGTTTTTGTTGCAGCAGCTGTTGTGGTGTTTCTGGTAGTCAAGGTATCAAAGAAAGCTGATGGTGAGGTTCCCCTTTGCTGCAGGTAGTACAAGCCAGATCTCACTTTACCCATTCCAATCGTTCTCCAGGTCAAAAGGTCCTGAATGAAACACGTTTCAGACAAGAAAATAAGACAACAGTTCAAGGAACTGGCTAACTTTCTAGCAGAAATTAAGTTGAAAGAAAAGGATGGAACACAGAGTGCATTATGCAGAATTAGTGTTTCAGAGATTCTTACTGTCCCTATATGAGTGACAGCAACAATATTGCCATCTGGAAGTGTCACAGAGTAGTTAACTTGTGCTGAAATATTAGTGAGCAAAGTGATGTCACAGACCATATGGTTTGTGGCACCTGTGTCAAGAATCCAGGGCGTGTTTTCTGGGGATTTTGATGCATAGGTAGAAAGGCATAGAGATATACCAGATAGAGTAGGCATTAGAACCTCGTTGGTGCAAGGACTGTTATCAGATCGAACTTGATTGGCTGAATGAACTGTGGTTGAAGTGTTCTGTTTACTGAGGAGTGTCATCAGCTGTTTGTATTGCTCCTGTGAGATGGGAGATTGGGCTCTTCCAGTACTCTCAATATGTTTGTGTTCTTGCATAGGTATTCCAGTAGCCTGATTAGCTGAAGAGCCAACAAATCTTCCTTTGTTGTGTGGCTTGTTTGCTGAAGGATAACCATGAACCTTGAAGCACTTGTCTATGCTGTGACCAGGTATATTACAGTGGGAGCAAAATGGCATGTTGACTTTAAGGCATCTCTCCAATGAATGGCCAGCAATCTTACAGTGAGTGCAAAAATATCTGGTAGTTCGATTAGCTGTGTACTGATTTCGAGCTCCTCTTCCCATCATTGCCATTGATTCAGTAGTGGGAGAATCCATTGAAATCTGCCTTCTCTTTTCTTCTTGTTGTATGACAGAGTAGACTTCATTTAATCCCGGAAATGGCTTAATAAGTAGGATTTGTGCTTTGATATCTTTGTAAGATTCATTAAGTCCCATAAGGAACCGCATTACCCAATCCTTTTGTTGGTTATCAATGACATGACGAAGTCCTCTACAGGTACAGTTAGGTATGGATTCATAATTCATCAACTCATCAAGGAGAGCCTAGTGCATTCGAAAAATAAGCACTCACATCATCTTGGTTTTGCATCAAGGTGCTGATAGCCTGTTTGACCTCATAGACCTGAGGTGCATTCTGCTGTCCTAACCTGTGTTCAAGCTCCAGCCAGAGCTCCCTAGCGGTGTCTGTATATAGTGTGCTTGTTTTTACTTCAACACACATGGTATTTTGCAGCCAGGCAATAACAAGATCATTGCAACGGAGCCAATGTTCCATCAGAACATCATTGGGATCTGTTGGTTCAGCCAAGCTTCCATCAATAAAGCCAAGCTTATTCTTAATTCTGAGTGCCCTTTTTATTGATCTCGCCCAGGCATAATAATTAGTACTGTCCAAAACGTGAGTAACCAGTATGGTTCCAGAACTATCGTTTCCTCCAATATAATAAGGGCTGTGAAGATGAGTAGGATCATGATGCTTTGGTATGGGGGCATTTTGCTGTGGATTTGGATTCAGATTTGGATTTTGAGGTGTAGCAGATTGCACGTCTGTGCTGTGTTCATCTGCCATTGTTAAAATTTCTCTGATACCATATTACAAAATGGAATTCAAGCTAT